AAAATAAAATCCAAATTACATGCGGTCGGACAATTTTGGCAGCCACTGTATGTTCAAGGCATGATTTTTCTGGAAAAAAGAAATTATCTTGTTAAGATCTGACCAAGATCTTGCTGACCAATCCCAAGATTTCAAGATCTTATTTACAAGATGCTTCACCAGGAATGTAAAAAAAGTTAAGAAATTTACATTATTTTGTAACATCAAGTGGGAAATATATATTTTTATAAAGAACAATTTGACAGAAGTTTTCGAGCAAATGGAAAAATTGGAAATAATAAAAAAACTAAAGATGATGCAAGCTCTAGATTAAGGTGTTTTTGTGAAAGAAAAGTTTAATATTTACATCTGCTTTCTTGCATGTAGTATAAGATACGAATATAATAAGTTAAACTTACGACAAGATATCCATAAATATGCTATAATAATGAGATCAAGTATGAATTAGAAAACAACACTGATATTTTTTAGTATTATTAAACGACAGAAATATGCTGATTCAATAATATAGAAATGTAACAGATGCCTGTGTATTAAATTATGTGTAATGTAGTAAGAGTTGTAACATGAAGTTTACAAATATTTTGATTTAGCAAAATGTTTTTGAGCTTTGCGTTAAATTTATTGTATATTGACGAATTTTGAATTTGTGTGATGAAGTATTTTTACTACATTCAGGAGTAGCAGTTATAATAAAAATGAAAAAATTCAATAGCAATTTGTATAAGGATATAGGTGATGACAAGCATGATATTAATCTGATCAAAATATTTATTTAGGATATATTATTAATAGTGATAGCCTAATTAGATGGCTACATTGATTTGGAGATAACCGAAAATTTAGCTGTAAATAATTTTTAGTACATTGAAGCAATGTAATATGCTGATGTAGAGATTAGTTCGAATTTCATTTTTTTTTATACTATAAAGTACCATGTATTCATGAATTTAGTTTTTTTTAACCTAAAAAACATTAATTTCTTTTACTATATTATCTAAATCATAACATATAATATGCAGTTAAAAGATGAAATTATTTTGTTGCTCACTTCTTTCCGATGAGATAAATTATTTAATATATTTTTGAATAATAACAATATTTAAATATGAAACTTGCGAATACACTGTTCAGACACCTCGCGCCGTGAATAAAATTTTATTAAGTTCCGCTGGGTTGTGCAAACAGTCTAATTGCTTTTTTCATCATCTTCTCTTTGAAGGCACAGAAAAAACTGTTCATCTAGCCTCGCCTTCGAATTTTGTATTTTTGAAAATAAAGGCGGGAGCAGATCGTGACAGCCATTAAATTTGTTTACTATCGACGAATTCTTTTTTCAATGCTGATGACTTACTTTGAATATGAAACGGAGGATATGTTTAATTCTACACTTGTGTCGTACAAATGTAGCCTTTTCCATTTGGCAGATCCTTTTGAACTTCAATACCTTGTGAGTACATACGTGAGATTATCTGCATTGATGATATTAGCTGAAACCATAACTTCATTTTCAACCAAGAGTAAAGCAACATGTGAATAGGAAGAGACAAAGAACATAAATAATTGTCATTGTACCTTCAAATCGGCTGGTGTTCAAATCAGTAACATATCGTACAGTTCAAGTGGATCAAATAAACTGAACATCTAAATTAATTAAATCTAGATTTTAACTTGGAACCGATTCAAAAGAAAACAAATGCACACGAAATGTCTTTTACTTGTTGCTGGAGAGACCAAGTTTGCTCTAAATTGTCTGTCAGAGTCAATAATAAAATGGTTCGCGAAAAGTATGTGTAGCATCAGTTCAGTGGAAACAAAAGATGAGATGCACTTAAATTCATCCATAATGATTATCAATCGTATCACATGAAAAACCAATAAATTTTGTATGTGTTTTAGTAAATTCTGAGAGTAATTTTGCAGCAAGGCAAAATGCAATCGTTCAAACAGGTGTACAATCAGCTGAATGAAAAAATTATATTCTCTATGCAAAATAAATAATTCAATTATTACAATCATGTTTGATTCTAGGAAATACTGCTAAGAGCAGTTACTTATTTTGAAGTCAATCTTGTGATTAAAAATCACCAATGGGTATTATTAGCTTGAAATTCGGAAATTCGTCACCAAGTTTTAACGACATTTGTTTTTTTTGTACTTGACGAAAATGATTCTTGTATCTAGAATGAAACGTGCGAATGTATGTTTACCAAAAAAGATGTTCATATTCAATCAATAGCAAACTAAACAGTGGAAACATAAAGCGAAAATTTGTATGTCGTCGTACTCCCTCATTAGTACTCACGATTGTAATTGTTAGTAAATTGAAGAATGATTAAATATGTTATTGTTATGAACTATATATAGATATGTTGTTCATATTAGATTGCGAAATCTGTAGCATAATTTTAAAAGATATTCAATTTATTTTTTTTTCAACGCTAATATGTGGCAGTGCAGTTGATTTTATAATTTAGATTCATGAAAGAATATGAAAAGTTATATGGATCAAAATGTTATGATATGATATTACAATTGCTTTTGGTAAATTTCGTATTCATATGAAAGAATGTCCATTGCTTTCACCTTATTACTTTTCGTTTCATAAGAAAAAAAGTTGGACTCTATTTGAGATGTAAACAAAAAGTAGAAAGAAAAATTTTTAAATTTCAATAAACGATTTGTCAACAATAACAGATGTATCTCGAATAATTGTCAAAAAATCATGATAAAGAATATTTTTCTCTAAATGAAAATGATTTGTTATCCATTGCTGAAAATCTTTTTCTATGTTTTGTTTCACATCAGTTAATAGTTGTTTTAGTTTTTCTTTTAATTTACATTTATCTTCGATTGATGGATCATCATATGGCGACCAGTGGTCTTGATTAAAAGTTAATTCAATTGTTTTAATAACTGTCCATGAAAGATCATTATCACCTGAATAGAGTTCTAATGAATTCCAATAATTAAACGATTTTATTTTTTGAATTTGTTCATTCGAAAGAATTTGTTCAAGTTCATATTCAATATTTAATTGATTATAAAGATTCGATGTTAGAACAAAACCATACTCAATAAGTAAATCAACATTTGAATGAGGATTATAAAGAAATGTTATTTGCTCATTGATATCTATTGGTTTTGTGGTACGAATTTCATAGGAACGAGTAAAGGAATTAAAGTTTGACATTGTATTTGGTTCAATTGAATGGTTAACAAAATCTAAAAAAAGAGTAGAAAATAAAAATTGTTTCGTTAAAATTAAATATATATATTCTAACCTAAATAAGGAATAAGACAAAGATTATTATCTTGATCTTTTGAAGATATATCCATAGGAAAATGAACACATCGTGTATTTATAATATAATAAGCCCATTGAAATTGATCATCATTATATTGTTGAATTTTAATTCTTGATTGATTATATTTATTTAAATGTTGTTTCATTTTATCTGAAAGCTGTCGAGGATATTTATCATTAGGAAATACACACCATTGTGGAATTGGTTGAATAGATCGCAGAAAACTAACATATGGATTTGATTTTTCTTCTAATAAATAAATAATTAAATGTTCAAAACCTGTTAAATCCTTATTTTCAAATGATGGTTTAATAAAAAGATTTTCTGGTATCGAAAGAACGAGAGAATTCTTTTCAATGAATGACCGACGAGAATAAAGACCAAAACCACAACTATCTGAATAACAAACATTTACATTTTCTGTAATAACACCAGTTGAATTGAACCAACAAAGAAATTCATCGAGATTCATCGATCTAAAATAATTAAAAATAACAAGATTCAGTTTCATGGATGAAAACCAATGATTGTGATGATGAACAGTTTTTTAATTCTTCTTTTAAATTTTGATTTGAATTCTCTTGAACTTTTTCTTATTAAATATGTCAGTCAAGAATTATTCTCATGACGCTGAAACATTGTAGTTATTAATCAACAAGAAAACAGATAACGATGAGTAGCTGTATTGAGTATAATAAATTAACGTTACTATTCGTAACCTACATCAAGTAATTCTTGTCACCAAATCTGTACTCATTGTTTTTACATAGTTACTGAAATACAATTATTTAGATACTGAAAAATATTAGACAACTATCACTAAATTATTTTAAATAAAATTTCAATTGTAATGTATCGAATTCTACGTGCAAAATAATTCTTAATGGATTAATTTTCATTCGATTGATATTTCTTCAAAAGACAAAATTTTTTGTTTTACTTTTTGATTTGATTTTTTGAATATATCAATATTTCTCAATAATTCCGAGTTCTATATAAACTAGTTTATTTAATGTAAATACATCGATGAAACTTTCTCATTTGATAGAGAATTCAGAAAGCTACTATTGTTTTAAATAATATCAATTCTATGAAAATAAACAAACAAATAAACAGAACTTATTTGTCTTTTTAGCGACATTATTTTCAAATTCATCGAAATCTTGACTTATACTTGTTCAATTTTACGGAAAATTTAGATTCTAAATGTCTATTTGAATAAAGTATCGTATGATAAAAAGGAAAAGTTATTAAATATTGTGCGACATAATTGATGATTAATAATTTACAATTAAATTGATGGTCAATGGATTAAACTGTTTTCTAAAAAGTAAAGAGAAGAGTTTTTATGTTGAAATAAAGTTTTGAATCTTTTCCTTTCGTGAAAAAAGTATTTTTATGTTCACTAAAATAAAATTTTGTTGCTCTAATTAAATATTTTCATTTATGTTTCGGCTATTGATTAACAAACAAATTTTTGATAAAATTATTTTTTATTTTTCGTGAAACGTTATTCTATGTTAATTATGAGTTGATTTTATCGTTAACACAAAAAGCATAAAAAATTGCAAAATTTTTCATTTTATTAAGTTTATTTAATTTCAAATATGCCTTTTTTCTTCATTGTAAACAAAAATTAAACAACAAATATGCAAGTTTGACTAAATTTTAAATATCAACTAAGAAATATTTCTATTTAACTGCATGAGTAGATAAAGATGAGGGCTTTTTAGTTGTTTTTTTTGTTATTTTATTCATTTGATATTCAATATTTGCCCAGAGAAGATTTTTTAAATTTTGTAAAATAAGATTTTGTCGAATTTGTAACGATATTAAATCAATTTGATTATTGTCAAATATACTTTCATCATTAATTATTTGTTGACATTGTTCAATAAGAGGATTAAAATTTTCAATAAATGTTATATTTGCATCAGATCTAACTAGCGATGATATTAATGAACATAACTCATTTAAAGAATTTTCATTAAATTCTTTCATTTGACAACTATTTATTGATGTATTACACCATGCATTACAATATGAATCATATAAACAATCTCGATTATCATGACAACGGTTTGGAAGACGATATAATATTGATCTTGATGAGATTAAATGATTTAATTTTAATATCTAAAGTTTAAATTATTATTAATATAAATCTCGACGGTTCTATTTTAAACATTATCAAGTTTCATCAGCTTGATTTCATCATTCAAACAGTGTTCAAAAATTGAGAAATGACAATTCGTTTTCTGCAATACTTGTCGAGTACAGAGCCTTATCGTGATCGCTGCAATTTCAAACAGAAACTATACAGAACAATATTGTTGTTATGAAAAATGTTTTTCTGCAGAGTTAAAAAAAATGCATATTGTAAAACTAGTGAGAATCTATGCAAGAAAAATCTTTTTTGTGTTTCTATTTCAAATCAGTTGGAAAATAAAATAAACTCTTGTGAATATTGTTACATGTAATGTGTTTAAGTTAGAAGAATAGTTTAAAAGAATTAGTAATTTTCTATCAAACACTATGAGTAATATACTAACCAAGTGTATCTCTTAAAGTTTTACAAGCTATTATTTGTAATCTATATATTGGAATAGTTCGAAAGATATTTATTATTTTAAATTCCTTAATGAGAATAAATAAAGCTTACTTTTGATTCATAATCTTTATCATAGCCAAACGATTTAATTAAAGGTTGACATAAATATAAATGTTGATCTGTATCTTGATAATGCCAAGTATCACTAAAAAATTCAATTATTCCAACTGCTAATCGTACTCGTTGATACCAATTCGGTCGTTCAGATGAGGAATACAATTCTAGAAGAGTTTTTATTTTCATTATAAGTAACAAAAAAACGATTTAAATAATATAAAAGAAAAAACCTTGTTTTTCATCAAATGGTAAATTCTGATTAATAACTTTGTCAAGAGCAAAAATATGTCCACATGTTCCACGAATTTTAGGTGCATAAGCTTTATCTGATAATAATATTGTATAAACAAATTCATCTATTTGTATAAGTGACCAAAGACTACGTGCTTCAGATAAACTTATCTAACAAATAATAAAAGCAATATCTTTTTTTGAAATAAGCAGATTTTGTTTTGTCAATACTTTATCATCTTTATTGAAATCAGCAAATTTAAGTAGATCTTGAATTAGAAAATGTGGATTGTCTAATTTGATTGTTTTCTATAAAATAGAAAAGAAAAAACTGAAGAAAATTACAATTCTATGTGAAAATTTGATCTTACTTGAATATGTTTTTCAAGTGAAATATAAAATCTATCAAGTGTTGATTCATCTTCAGGATAATTAAAATATTCTTTTAAATCTCTTGATGGACTTGGTTTACTTAATGGATATTTCAAATAACAACGTATAACCTGATTTCCTTCGATATCATCAAACAGCTATTTATTAAAAAATTTTTAAGAAAACATTTATACTTTATTTAAATATTTTATCTTACTCTTGATCGCAATTGTTTATGTTCACCTAAACAATTTTCTAATAGAATAGATTTTGTTGTACATAAATCAGGACATAATTGACCACCGATTAAACCATCTGAATAAGCTTTGCACTTAAAATAATTGAAAAATAATATATGATATATGAAGAAAATTTGTAACAAACAAACCACAAAATCTGAACATTCTCTATTAAAACAAGTCGGATCAATAAACGAATAATATGAATAGATAAAACAAATAATTAACAATAGAATAACAAAAATAACAAAATATAGAAAACGATTAGTGTAGGTGTTCTAAAAATAATTTAATAAAAAGAAATGAAAAAGCAAACAAATATTTTACTTCTGAATAATTTTTTGTTTTAGTTGATGAATAATTTGATGAAGAAAAAGATTGACGATAATCATCATTTTTTTTTGATGAAATATATTCACGCAGTGGATACGAAACTTATAAATAGTAAAATTTTCTTTTGTTTCTCTTGTGAAAATATTCAATTAACTTACTCATTATGAATATTCAATTTTTAATGTTTCATCTAAAAACATACAAAAAAAGAAGAGGTTTATTTAAAATTTAAAAATAAGCCACAAAAATGGACGGAGAAAAATTCTCGTAAATATATTGATGAGATTAGTTATAAAAAAAATAAAAATAACACACTGATTGTTAAAAATGTGGAATAGTTATTGTTGTTAGCGCGATTAATAAGAGATTTATCGACGATTACTACCACCACCGCCACCTGACCGACGATTGGGACTGATTTCATTATCATCATGTAACCAAGTCTAAAACATTTTTTAAATTACTATTTTTTTTGGTTGTATGTGACTTTTCAAATAAAATTCATACTTGAAGTTCCTCATTCGTGACTTGTAAATTATTAACTCGTCGTTCCATGGTTGCCATCCATTCTCGATACATTTGTTCCCAAGTGGCAACCTATAATTATCAAATTAGAAAGAAAACTAAATAAAAAGACATTCACTTGTTTCTTAGCTTCTTCTTCTCGATTACATAAATCAGCCATTTTTTCTGTATGTTCTTTTTTCATAGAATCAAATGCTTTCTATTAAATTTTAAAAAAAATGTTTTTTCATTATTTCAAAACTAATTAACATCAAAAAACGAAACTTGATAATCTTCATTTTCGATCCGTAATGCTTCGCATTCGCTTTTTGCTTCAATTAAATTAGAATGTGTCATATCTAATGTTCTTTCAAGTAGCTAAATAAACAAAGAATTATGAACAGATATAAAAATTTCATCATTAAAAACGAAAACCTCTTTAGCATTTCTTTCTTCTTGTGTTAGCTGTTTTTCCATCTTCAGTTGTTCTGTTAATTGTTGATTGCTTTGTTTTTCAAAATCTAATAATTTTTTAAAATCAGAACATTTTGTACATGGACCAGAATTGGTCGATGATGTTTGCTGTTTGCTGTTTTCTTTTTGTTCAACTAATCGTTTTAATTGTGCACTGGATTTTCTTTCAGTATCTAACATTTTTTCCAGTTCATCACATTTTTCACATGGTTTTGTTTTTTCTGGGCGATTTATTCTATGAATAAATTTATTGATATTAATAAAGACAAAATATTTTAAATGAAAACTAACCCAGGAATACTAGTATTGACATATTCCTTTTCTAATTTAACAACAGTTGTAGCTTTAGCACGGCGTAATTCATCCAATTTACTTTTATAATCAGCAACTTGACGTTCAAGCTTAATTAACAAACAAGTTAAAAGTTAAAAGAAATTTTATTTTTAAAAGGAATTTTTATACTTCAGCGACTTTATTCTTAAGAGTAGGGAGATCATCTTTACTTCTTCCGGTTGTATTAGAGTTACTAATTGAGCTCGTAACTCCTTGAGATTTTGCAGTTGCCATTAGGTACAAAATTTAAAGATTTATTTATTTACATGAATTTCAAGAGCTTTTTTCAATTATTTCTTTTCTCGCTTCGAGTGGATATCGATGCAAACCAACAAAATCATTTCGATAGAGGTCGATCATGTCTGTTACTCATTTCAGTTACTTTTTCTTGTTTAAGTATAGAATTTATGTCAACTACAACAGTTCTAAATTTAACAAATTTATTTCGATTTTTTATAATATTAGTGAAATAGTTGTTTCCTTATTAGGATATAGAAATGATTTATATAGACGATTGATGATTTGACATCTGACATTTAAAGAAAATCCTTTTCTATTTAAAAAAAACAGGCTTTTGTTCTAAGAAGAGATTAAAGCTTCGAATCAAATATATTTATATTCAAATCAGTATTCTGACCAGGGGCGGTGGAACTTCATTAAGCTAGGTGAAGCTTATAATGTTTTTTTTTCTACTGTGGAATTTTATGAAAGCATCAAGCAGAAAATAAGTCTTCTTTTTTATTGAACTTCAGTAAAAAATAAAAATGATCAGTATAAAAAAAGAAGATTGGAAAACACCAAAATAGACTTTTCTTTGCTCCTACTTTGATGCAAGAATAAAATATAGCAATAATCAGTACAACAGCAAGTGAGACTGAGACTCATTTTGCGAAATCTAGGTGACGCTTAAGCCTCATGGGTCTCAGCTAGGGGTATGACAGTTCAGCTTTAGTTCCTATCAAACGAACTCTTTAGACAGTTCCTTAGATCTGATCTGATCTGACCTGCTCGAACAGTTCTTTCGTTCATTTGATCTGAACTTAGATCTGAGAACTATTACATCCCTAGTCTCAGTGGCTCCGCCGCCACTGATTCTGATAACTTATTTTGATACTCAAAATGTAATTTACAGTTCTGTTTTTTTTACTTTGATATAGAGCACCCATGTCGCACAAACCGATCGAAAACCGTCGGTTAACCGCGGTTAACCGTTGGTTTTTACGCTGTAAAGTCGCTAAAATGGCTTAAATAACCGCGGTTAACCGATTTTTATAAAAATTGACCGCGGTTAACCGACGGTTTTCGATCGATTTGTGCGACATGGGCACGTATTTACAATTGCAAGTGCAAATAAAACTATGAATTAATATTTATTCTTTCTTTTATCTCAATTTTTAGCATACATGAAAATTTTAATTATTTATTGAAATATTTTTTAAGTGACTATCGAACAAAGTTTATATAGTCGAACTTTCTAGATTAAAAGGAGAGTGTCCGCGGTAGTATAGTGGTTAGTATCCCCGCCTGTCACGCGGGAAACCGGGGTTCGATTCCCCGCCGCGGAGTAATACTTTTTAAAATTCTTTATAGAATCTTTATTATCTAAACGAGGAAAAGTGCTAAAGACGGAAAATGATCAACGCATTATATATGAAAACGTTTAAACAATGAATAAAAAAAAGCTCTTTACTTAATCGAATAATTTTTGTCGATTATTGAATAATTTCAATTAAATGAAATAGTACGAATTATATTATCAGCAGAAATATGCCATAGAAGCATCCAAAAAGTTATTATTTCATAGTGCCTCAGTTTAAATTAAGATTGGTTCAATAAATTCACTTAGAAATAATTAACATCTTTACCCCGGTCGAAGAAAACGATCAGTAAACGGTCGTATACGATACAAATACCGCCCGTTTTACGTGCCGTATTTTCCCCGTATAACAGGGGCAGTAATACGGCCGTATGTTGTATAGAATACAATAATATTACGCCGGCTTTACGTGGGTTTACGGTTGATATACGGTGTTCGTGTATGGCCGTAATACTGCTCCTGTTAAAACGCCTTAATTCGGCTTAAAACGGTCGTTTTACGACGGAATACGATGCAAAAACGACAGTTTACGGTAATGTTACGTCGATTTACGGTGGTCCGTTTTGATCGACCTGGGTACTGTCAAAAACACATCGTGAGTGCTAGATTTATTGACTGGTAACGAATTTATTGGTAGCTTCTTGTCTATTTCAGTAAAATATGGGCAGTTGAGTTTTTTTGACTATTAGCATAGTATAAAAACATAATTCTCAATAAACCAACTGAGAGAAACAAGAAAGAAGTAAAAAGAAAATACTCCGCGGCGGGGAATCGAACCCCGGTTTCCCGCGTGACAGGCGGGGATACTAACCACTATACTACCGCGGACAGACAATTAGTGCCTAAATCTATATGATCAACTTAATTCCAAACAACTAATTTCATATTTATTCACAAGATAAAATAAATAGAATTTTTATTGAATAGATATTTTATATATATTTGGCCACCTTTTTTTGATCGATAATGAAAAATGATATATGCAATTGCTTCTTTTTTTATGCTGATTAAAAATAGTTCTTAAGAGGAAACATATGCAATTGATTAATTGCTATTTAGTTGGAACAATGTGCAATATGTAGGTTGTAATGGGCTATGAACACCCGGAAAAGATTTCTTACTGCTAGCGTATTGTCACCGAAATATAACAATGTTTATGATATTTTTAATCACCAAGTCGTGTTGCCTCTCAGAAACATTAGAAAAACGAAGTTTTGATCACAAACATCGTCAGATTCGATGTTTCTACTTCAGACTATAAACAGCAAATGAAACTTTCATAATAAAATATTTTTACTGTGACCTCTGTCTCTGCACAAAGTTTCAAGTCAAAATTCGAGATTCGGTTTTCTTGGTGTTTCTGAGGGGACTACGGCCTGATAATTAAAAATATTATAAAAATGCTATATGTCGGTAACAATAAGGTAGTGGCACGAAATATTATCAGGGTATTCATAGCTTATTAGGACCTATATGGTGCATATTCTCCTGACTGAAACGCTATTTATCAATTGAATATGTTACTTCGTTAGATCGACATCGCCCTAAAAAAGAGCGCCCATGAGAGCATCAAGTGTCCCAAATGTGACAAAATTAGAGAGTGTCGCCTATGCCCGTCGGTATGATGGTGTATTGTGTCATCTGCACATCTCTAGTCGTGCATTTCCTTTAGTTACATTCCCTTATATACGCGAGAGTGGTCACGCTTGGGCGGATATAGACAAAGAGGGAACGGTCACGTAATAGAAAAATGAGAGTTTATCAGGTCAATACACAAACATAGGATACAGCGAAGAGGATAAAGTACATAAAGTGAGCCGTAACGGTAAATACCGTTACACCATGCACTCATAAAAATCGATCTTTTTAAATTTGCGGCGCTTATTTGAAGGCATACATTGTCTGAAACTATAAAACTTAAATTTTTAGTTCATTTAGATTTTCTATAGTGAAATTACTCCTGATCGACTTCGAGCATTCTCACCTAAGTATGAACAAAAACAGCGATGAGTTATGTCATACCGTGTTTACTAATATTATGCTATCAGGATGAAGGGAATCTTTGGATGTAAGATACGTACTACACGATAGAGGAAGTTAAGACGAACAAAATGAGGCATTTGGAATATTTGTATATCATTCATTTAGTGTGCTATGAAAAGTAGAAAAGCGAATAGTTTAAGAAATTTTTACGTTCTACTCTTGGAATTACGTCTGCTGTTATTTATCCGAATCATGAGCATGAGACTAAACTTTTGTATATATGTTGTGTAACATTTTATCCTCTACAAATATTAAAAAACTAAGGGAAAAACCGTTTACCATCAACATAAAAAAAATGTCATTTACTATCAATTGGCACGTGTAGTCTCAAGAAAAATTATGTCCAGAACAGAGACCGAAACGAATGACAAAAATATCATTCGGCCCGATTCGCCTTTTCCGGACCTGAATTCGGACTCGATTCTGCTCTTCTAGTGTCTCAAACTTTTCATACCATTAGGTTCCGATTTTCAAGATCGGGTTTCGGATTCGATTCAGCTTTCCCGGTCACCCAAAATTTTAATTCGATTCGATTCGATTTCGTTTTTTCAGCCAAATCGAATTGAATTAAACTTTTGAGTGACCGGGAAAGCCGAATCGAATCCGAATCTCGGTCTTGAAAACCGGAACCTAATGGCATGAAAAGTTTGAGACACTAGCAAAGCAGAATTGAATCCGAATTCAGGTCCGGAAAAAGGCGAATCGGACCGAATGATATTTTTGTCATTCGTTTCGGTCTCGGGTCCAGAACTTTTCAAAAAATCTAATTGGAAAATAAAAACGGTTCATTGTACTAGGATTTGGGTATGGCACTTAATTTGATTATTAATTTATTAGCTAGTCAATATGCGTTGTTCGTACACAGTAAAGCAACGCATGAAATAAATCCATGATTAAAAGCAAGCGAAGGGCGAAAGGCAACCAAACATTGCTGTTATTCAAGAGAAAAAAAATGAGATCTCGGTACTATGAAGCATAGCTGAAGTATTTGTGAAATACCTATGCAGGACGAATGAAGTATCCATTGGCATGACAAATTTTCGGATCATCAGTATATCACTTATACATAAAACGTTGATCATTAACCGTTAAGAAAGTAATTAGTTACTTCTTATTACACGTCATATTCAAGAGAGATATTACACATATGACAAACTGGAAATTGAAATGCTCATTGAATATCAAGAATAAACAATTTTCACGAAACTCTATTATCTTTGCGTGGTTTCAAGCGCTAGTAAAGTTCCCAGGAGAATCATTCCGACAGCAGGATCCTATCGGAATCCAACTCTAACGAATCACCCTTGCGCTCTGATGGCTCAAAATGATTATTTGATCGTTGTGACGATTTCTGATGTAGTAGATGTTGTATAAAGTGTTATTTAATTAATACTTTATTAAACTATCAAGAATTGCGCTATACTGTATTTTTCTCGTTCCTTATATACCATTTTGTGGCATAGATGGGCTTTCATTGATACAGCGTAAACAATATGAAATGAAAGGACAAATCGAAAGGGCGCAACTAATAACACGCTTATTGGCAATGGCATATGCAGAATGCCATTCTCTAGAGTGTAAACGTAAAAGATCGTAGTGATTGTAAACTATGTATAAGTGAAGGATAAATTGATAGTATGTGTTAGGAATGTAAATGAGAGAAGAAGAGATCAAAGTCTGCAGAGCCTTGTATGAGTAACAACTAGAAGAGTGTATCACAATCATTTTGGCTAAGAACACGCAACATATTACAAGTTCGGTGGGATTGTTACAATCGTGAATAAAAAAATGATATTTCTGTCGGAACCGACAATAGATCCGTGTCCAGGAATCCTATTGGATTCATTCACCTGGGCGAAGAAAAATTTCAGAACAATTTGAAAAGCTCAGAAAGGATATGGATGGATGTACGTTGATGACTGCGCAGAAAAGAGACATTTATAGTTCACATGCATACCTACCCACTAACGTATCCATTCAAAGATGCTCGAAATGTGTAACGTACTCTTTTTTTGAAGAAGAAATAATGAGCAAAACAAGCAAATCTAAAAAGATTAATTTTTCGTATCAAGAAAACAACTTGGCTATATAGACGAAGATGTTTGTGTCGTAAAATATGAAGAAAAATATGGAAGCCTATTAGGGCCCTATAAATGACATCATTTCTATTAAAATATACTTATTTGAGTCTTAATCAAACACCTGTGTATACTTAAGACAAAAATCAATGGGGATATTTGCATATATATAAACTACCACATATCTCTCTCTCTTGATATACAGGCTTCGTCATGAATTTTGGTTCACTTTTTATTCTCATTGTGGTCTCTTTGACCGTAGGCAACATCAAAGCCGCATATTCGAAAGTTGAATATAATGATTGTGGCTCACAGGATGTTCACATTGATTCGGTTGACATTTATCCAATGCCAATTTCTTATCCTGGTACTGTCAATATAACTTTAAAACATACTTTAAGACGACCTCTACGTAAGTATCAGTTAAATAGTATTGAATAATTGAAAAATGTTTTTACTGTAGAAACAGAAAATTTGCAACTATCAGTTGATATCATACGAACAGTTTCAAATATTCGTCTTCCAATTAAGTGCTATATCTACGATGGTCTATATGTTGGCTCATGCAACTACACTGGCAATGAAATATGTAATTTGATCAGAGATTGGTGGCCAAAAACGTTCGGATTATACTTAACTTCCCTTGTTTCAACCATTCTGGGTAATAATTGCAATGGATCTTCGCATCAAGTACAAAGAAATAAAGTCGTAGCATATAACGAAATGCTTCAATTGCCGGATATTTCTGGCAGTGCTATATCATTTTTGATGTCTGGCGATTTTCAGGTCAAAATAACAGCTATGGAACAAGACGTCAAGGTTTTCTGTGGAATATTTGAATACACAATAAAACCAAAAAAATAGATTTAACAATATATTAGACGCAATTAATGCAGCTACTTCTATAATTTAAGAAAGACATAATGGAATATTGCGTCTTGCGTATTTGAAAAAAGAAAATAAATATTTCGATGCTTCGGAAAAGTATGTTGCTGTTGTTTGAAAATATATAATCGGACATTGTGAGCTTAAATGCTTCTGTCAACGAATCATTATATGCCCCAGCTCGTGATGGTTCGGCGAAATGATCGGAAAGCACGGGAAATCTCTGGAAGGTGGAAGCAGTATTCCGACAGGAAATTCTCGGATTTTGTTTTTCGGTGGATTCCGATCAACTTACAGTGCTTTCCGGTAGGAACCGATAGTAAATCATCGGGAAAAGCTCCGAAAATTTTCCGATCCGAATATTGCTTCCAGATTCCAGCGATTTCCCGTGTTTTCCTGTGGGATACGGTGATTTTTCCGCATCTTTCTGGCCGGCTCCTACAGTATCCGGTGACCCGGAACGATCGACCTGTGATGCTTATAATGTACAGCGCAAAAAGATAGTTCGATGTTCGATAGTAAGCTCTACAAAAATTGTTCAAGCCACGTATAAAATTTTCATTCTGCATTGAGATAAACTGTTTCATTTTGTTGTTTGAAAAGCAATTGTATACATTTGGATGCTACATGTTCAAAGGACGCTATAAGAGTCACGATTGAATATACTGATAATATCCTTTTTGATTAATCTGCCTGGTATTCCACTATTTCAAATTATAATAGGCTAGTTAGATTTAAGCATATAATGATATTATACTCAAACTGGGCTTGTATCAAGTAAAAAGTCCACTTCACTGTTTAACTATCTTTGCATAATATTTGAATCTTAGATTTAGTTGTCAAGATTATTCATCACTGAGTTGCTTATTTTGACGGGTGCAATATGAACATAACGTAAGGATTGTCTCATTAACTTACCAGGTTGATGATTACGAAGCTTGTAAACGGTTATTTACGGTCATACCTGCTTGGACCGGATTGCAAGAGAAGAAGAAGCTGACGAGTCATTGAATAGTTCCTGGATTGTTGGTAGATATTTCTAAACGAAGGCATTCTTATTGACTTTGACTTGTTCTATAATCAAAGATTGATTACTTTTGGTGTGATATGCAAAATTTTTCCTCGATGACTAGTTAGGTCTCTAATTGCATGATTCATAAGGATATATATATATGTTAAACAGATTGTTTTCTAACGTATAAACGAGCAACTTGCTCAATGAAACGCATGGATTGGAGCATTTATCTTTGAATAATCGAACTTATTAATTGAAATATTACTCATTCTGATTATTATTATATTCAATCGTATGCGTGGAAACACATACATCTATAAAGAGCAAACGTGTACTTATATAAATGTACTAAGAACAGAATCAATGAGAGAAGTGAACATGAACAGTAGCCACATTTTTTGTAGATGAACCAATGATCACCAACCTCTTCATTTAATAATGAATGGTGTATCTATTTTTCTTGAGATAGACAAAAGCATTTATGAAGTAGTGCAGTAAAATAGCCAGAAATATGAATTGACAAAATGAACATCTGTTACGAGAATATAGAATCCCTTCAAAAATTCAAATTAATTCCGCGTATTCTATTTAGGCCTCGAGCAAAAACCTTTGCTAACCTGCAATTGCAACTCTTGATTGAGAAAGTTCTATGAAGGTTTTGGAACTGTTTACAGCAATAGTTTCCATACCTATCTTTTTCTAGTGTTAAGTACATGAGCATATGGGTTCCATTCAGCATACTCATTGATCTAATAAGGTAGACTCTAGTAGCTGCATTCGCATTATGTTGTCGCTCTATGTTGAGCTCAAATTTTCACTCATATACTCATCGTATAACTCGATCTTTTGCTTGTTGACGACATCTATCTTTACACTGCTTAGTTTTCTTATCGCATACAATTTCTTTCTTTTAGTTTATTTGTTAGTTCTTATCATTTAATTATTATCTTGTAATGCGACGCGGAGCTATTCTTCTTGTTGTCAAGATAGACCAACCTTGTCTTTTTTTTTTATTATACAAGCTAAAAGATTAAATCACTCGATGAAATATTATACTGCAAAATAGTTCTCAAGTAAATTAGATCAACTAGTTAAAATGCGAGTATTAAAGCGAAACTGATCTTTTTTGCTACTTGTTCATGATAGGCGACAACAAATTTAATTGAGTTAGCCGAATAGAAACTGATTTTAGAAAGAAAACTAGAACATGAAATAGTTATTTTTACTATTAGGGATATCAACATTTTGTTTTATTAAAAATAAATATCTCTGGTTAAGGATTCTGTTTAGTCCTCGTGGAATTTACAAGAAATATGAGATGCAATATTTCCCTTTAAAGAATCAACGCTTAATACAAGAAAATACTGTTTCTTTACTAAGAATGTTCGATATTATAAGATAAGATCAACCAATAGCACAACTAAAAGTTACTAAAAACTTTTTCTATATTAGAATAGTTTACGGTTTAAAATGAGTCGTGTAAAAGAATTACGTGCGTTGATGAGTGAAAATCAGTGTGATGCATATCTAATCACGGATAGTGATGGTCACTATACGTTTTATTCATTATCACAAGAAAATCGTCGTCTGAATTGGATCACCGAATGTCAAGCTCAATGTGGTTTAGCCATCGTCACTTTAAATGATGGTGCATTCTTTCAGGCACTACCTAACTATCGATTATTAGCAAAATTAGAAGTTGATGGTGACGTCTGGACTCTTGTCGATGATTTATTTCAATGGATTAATAGTAAAAAATTGTCATTGAAAAGAATCGCATATGATCCTTATCTGACACCTTTGTTTATTACTGAACAATTATCAACTTTCATATCAAGCCTTTATCCAATTCATTCATCCACTAATTGGATAGATATCATTTCCAAAAAGGCAACATCCAGAGAACGACCAACATTGACCCCAATCTGGTCATTGAATGAACTTTGTTTTGCCGGAGAAACAAGTACAACAAAATTGGAGAAGCTAAGACAAATCTATTTAAATGATGAGCAAAAAAAATACACTCTGGTAGTTACAGCCATGGATGAAATAGCTTGGCTTCTCAACCTTCGTGGCAATGATATGCAATGCAATCCATTTTTCTATAGTTTTGCTATTGTCTCATGTGACCGACTCTGGTTATTCACTGACAATCCTCATGAGGTCAGTCATAATATAGTTGATGCAAATCGATTTTCTTTTCTTTTATAGGATCTTCACTATGAAATTCAACCTTATGAAAATTTCTTCGCCTTTCTCTCGACCTTGAAAGGCACAGATGTTTGGCTTGATGCACGCTCATCTGCAGTTGTTCTCCATTATCTTTCATCGGCTACTGTTCATCTTTCTCGGTCGCCGATTCAACAGATGAAAGAGATCAAAAATTCCGTTGAATTGGAAGGATTTCGTCAATGTCATTTTCGTGATTGTGCTGCTGTATGTCAAACTTTCGAATGGTTGGAAAAAAGCATGAAGAATGATGTCTTGAATGTAACTGAAGTCGATGTCGCAATATACCTCGAGAATCGACAGCAAGAACAAGCAAATTTTGTTTCTATTGCCTTCGACACGATTTCTGCTTCAGCAACGAATACAGCCTTGATTGAATATTCACCATTCGCTGCGAAGATGAAGAAGATCATTGTTCGAGACTTGTATTACCTTGATGCTGGAGCCAATTACCTAGATGGAACAACTGACATGACACGTACTATTCAGTTCGGAAAAGCGACAGAAGAGCAAATTAAATGTTACACTCTCTTATTACGAGCGATTCTTTCAATTGAAATGACTAAATTTCCATCCGGTGATAATTTAAATGGATTTCACATTTATTCTTTGTTAAAATCATATTTATTTACTATCAATGATATGAATGAGTATCTATCATTCGGTCATGGTGTATCACATGGAATGGGGGTGATTGAAGGTGGTGTATCTATTAGTGACAGTCATTCTTTCAGTACGTTGATTCCCATCCGAGCAGGAATGGTACTTACACTTGAACCTGGCATTTATTTCGAGGGAAAATGGGGAATCCGTTTGGAAAATGTATACGAGGTTATAGAAGATCACCAACGGTTTATTCATTTCATTCCGCTAACTTTATTACCTTATTCTCATTCACTGATTGATTTCAATCTACTTACTACAGAGGAGATCGTGTGGATTAATTCCTATCATCAACGATGCCTTCATTATGTAGATGGGGGATCTTGGATGAAACAACAGATCAGCCTCTTTCATTAGTTCAAAACTCGTCGTCATTCATTTCACTAAAATGTTGTTTCGCTTGATTTTATCTTTTACTTTCGCTTTCAATAATTTAGTAACGAAGAAATTCGATAAACATCGTAATCACTCAATAATTTCAGATTTCGTGAATTACGAACACCTGTGACTATAGTAGGTAACCAAGATCTTATTAATTGAACCTGACAAATCACCGCAGTCATCGTACCTAGATTACTCTTTTTATCGCATCTACACGCATATTGCACATGAATGCATGATCAATCGAAATCGTAAAATATTAAGCGATGGTCCGTGGAACCAATTAGCAACTAGGCCGCCGGTAACATTTTGATTTTCGATTTCACTATCTAAAATGCATGGTCCAGTCAAGTCATAAGTGAATCCAAAATATCAGGTCTTTCTGATGTGCCTGTGAAAAATGCCAGCGGCGTTTGCAAGTTATACATAATTTACATTTGGAAAGAAACTGAAGTTTTTAGGGTGCCATTAGTATTTTATGTTTTTCTCTGCTTCTATTGATTTGTTTGAATTCAGAAACGTCTCAAAAGATAGAGAAATGTTTTTTCTACAGAACATACTAATTTATTTAGTTATCGAGTGACGTCTATTAGTAAGTAATACTAATATATACAGACAAAAGTTATGATTGCTTAAAATGAGGACTTTTCAGTATTTTGACTATAGTCGTGTCGGATCTAACCATCCCAAAATAGTTTATTTATTTTCTGAAAGCCCTTGAAATTCTCTATTCTCTAGAGTATTACCTATTGAGATAAAATTTGAGATAAAATAGTTAGCCTACACGAGAAAGGTTGATATTGGATAGTTTTCTCTATACACTCGGATCCAAGATCACTTGAGTATATTGCATATGATTGCCAAAATCCAAAATATGGTTGGAGATTCGTGATCAGCATAAAAAATTGACCATAAAAATATTATTTGATTGAATATGAAGTTATTTCACTGGAAAAACTTCTATAGAATATCAATATTTTGAAGCTTTTTTCCGAATAGGTTCTCGTATATCCATCTAATCATTGGGTATGAGACCTAGTAGTAACATTTTTGTTTCATTTAGAATATCTGCACTCTTAGCTTGGAAATCTGCTATTTACTTTTTTCTCATTATGCTTTATGGTTGAGCGAAATGAGTTTTTCCTGATGTTGCTGAAAATTTATGTAAATGTGTGAAAACTGTGATTGTTTATGGGTGATTTTCTCGTCACAGATGGTTCTGAAAACAAAATAATTTACATATTTACAATGAGCGAAAATAACTACGTCGAACCATGTGGTTTTTGGAAAAATAATTTTTCTTCCAAAATGGCCCTCGGATGGAGTACAAGGGAAATTTTCAGAAAAAAGTCTTGAGGAGGACCCCAGGGTCGTTTTTAGAAGAAAAATTATTTTTTCAAAAACCACTTGATTCGATGTAGTTTTCTTCGCTCGCTCTAAATATGTAAATTATTTTGTTATCAGAACAGCTCACACCCTTGTCTGTATATTAGTTTTATCTACTAATAGACGCCACTCGATAACTAAATAAATTAGTATGTTCTGTAGAGAAAACATTTCTCTATCTTTTGAGACTTTTCTGAATTCAAACAAATCAATAGAAGCAGAGAAAACCATAAAATACTAATGGTACCCTAAAAACTTTACTTTCTTTCCAAATGTAAATTATGTATAACTTGCAAACGCCGCTGGCATTTTTCACAGGCACATCAGAAAGACCTGATATTTTGGATTCACTTACGGTTTGACTAGACCTTTCATTTAAATTATAATCATATTACTCACGATTTTTCTTGATTTTTACTTCACTACTAGTTTCCCTGGTATTTTGAAATATTTCTATGACATATGAAATTTGTTGAGATTGTGAAACTTTGTAGATTCGCTTCAGAATGTCCGCGGTAGCATAGTGGTTATTATTCCCGCCTGTCACGCGGGAAACCCGTGTTCGATTCCCCTGCCGCGGAGTTGCTTTCTTTTTGTGCTTCTGTTGAAATGAATACTATTATTCGAACAAAGAGAAAGAAACAAAGTTTTGTGCGCCTTTTTTGTTCTCAAACGTTGCTAATGGAAAAAAGTGATAGTTTGCGTTTGTATATGATATAGACTGATAGGTTAAATTTAGAAGATACTTATCACACAAGCTTGCTAGTGCAGTCTCACTGCGGCTGAACTATGAAACTCGTATGTACCCATCCTAGTCGAACATCTTGTAAGCAAGATCTTGGGTACGGGTCAGTGAACAGATATTAGGTAAGAATCCATAAGATCTTGGATGACCCATTCTGAAAGCATTGATCGAACCTATCATACAGCGCAGTTTTGACCTTTCTCTGTAAAAGCATATTTTGATATTTTTTCAATTTATTTTCATTTTAATTATTCCTGTCCCGAATAACTCAAGCAAGTCAGACGTTGAGTTCTGACTGGCTTTAAGTTGACCCGATCTCCGTCAGACCATTTTAGAGTAGTCGTCTCTCGATCATCGATCGAGATCAGCATTCTTTCAAATAATAGATAGTCGAGATATAGTATAGAAAAAATATTATTTTGAAAATTTATGTTTCGTGTGTTTAAGCATGTAAACACACCAATGAGGTCGCTTTTTGTTTTACTCAAGATCTTGTGAGAAGATAATAATAAACGATATCTTTTCTACCCAGGTCGAAAAATCTGACACAAGATCTTATGAAGCACATACAAGATCTTGGAATATGTGCGAAGTCTTACAAGAAGCTGACAAAAAATCGTAGTCTCGGAGATCTTAGATCAAGTCTCACAATCAGATTCTTGAAAGATCGTACACATTGATAAGATCTTTCAAGAATCTGATTCTGCGACTTGATCTAAGATCTCAGAGACTACGATTTTTGTACGATTTTTTGTCGGATCTTACACGATCATATAAGATCAGATGCAGAATCTTATCAGATCTTAACATCTGGTTGTTTGCCCTGGGTAATAATCGAAATCAAACATTACAAAAAAAAAACATGAAATTATGACGAACATATGCAGTTTGGTTTCATATATGTAATGATCTTCACCTTTCATGAGATCATATCCTCACTTCTATTCTTCTACTTTGCAAATTTCTCCTTATGTCTCTTGCCACAGTTCGAAGGAACATATATTGTTATGTGTTCATGCTCTTATTCAGTTTCTCTCTCTTTCTCTTTAGTACTAACTATCTCTCTGTCTGAGGAATTTTCATATAGTATATATGGTGGAGTGGTTTTTCAATAAAGTGGTACAATAGTCAACCGATAGAGAAAAAATACCTTACAATATAGCTTTAAATTTAGATTGATCTTTTTCAAGACTAACTTTATAGTTCAATATAGTTTTAAAATGACATATCACATGCTATATACCTCTCTCTTTCTCTCTTTCAGAGGGATAAAATCGATTCAGTTTTGTATTCAGTATTGGCTTTGAGTTTTTATCCAAAAGATTTTCCTTCATTTTCAATTGTTTATCATCTATGTGCCATAAGAAATAGCACATAATATATTGAGAGAATAATTCAACTACCAGGGCGGATGTTACATTGTGATTTATATTATTTGTACTTGATTAGCAGTTCGTTTTTAGTGTACATTCTATCTTTCTATTTTCCTTCAAAGTTTAATATCATCTCATAGAAACTATTCTACTATAAGCAATGAATAAAGTTCAAGAAGTACTAGCCATCAATTTTTTGAACCAATCATTCCGTGTATACTTTAAAAATGAACATATGGTCCGACTAATTCTTTTTTCATTTTTAACATGTCTTCCAGTGTATAAAGTATTTTGTTTCTACATCTGTTCTTGATTCAATTCTACTTTTTTTTCCCTATTAATCGTGATATAATGAGATGCGAAGTAATACGTTCTTATATGTCCCTCTCGTGCTACCTAAGGCAATGAAAAAAAGAGAACTGATTTCCGTCGCGTGCTTTGATGATTGTACCTCAGAGCTTTATTTTTACATCAGCAGCGAGCATTTCTCTTTCTCAGACATATACACCGAGTTTGCGTTTTATTTTATTCTGATGGTTCAGGAGCATACTGTCTTTGGATATACATTGAAATGCAGCCGGAACTCTCCAGAGCGAAGAAGAACATGCACGTCCAGGTAAATAATGCGTTGCACGCTTTATGAGGCTAATGGTCGCGTCTTATTTTTTCAATGTGAAAACTCAAACATTTAAACATAGCACAAATAACTTTCCATGTTTAACTTTTTCATAGGGACTTCATATATTCTACATCGACATATCTAGGTTATTGTTAATAATTCTGGGCAAAAAAGATTAGTTATTGCTTAGAATTCAACACTTGCGTCTATCATTGCTTCGAAATGGTTCTCACTTTTTTCATTATATTTCGAACATTATATTGTTTAGAATAAAGATGGATTTAGAATAGATATGACAATAAGAGTAATAGCCTGAAGTAAAATGAACAGGATTTATTTAATGTTCTAAATCGACATATCTATTCAAATAAGTTAGGTTGATTTCTATATGTGTATCTTATCTAGGGCTCGATTAAGAATTCATTTGATTTTAAATTTGTCGATACTTCATGTTTACCAAAAAATTAATTTGATTGTTAACTAGATAATCATCTATCTGATGAATAATTAATAGAGAATAGTGTGCTTAAAAATTGCAAATAATATGACCAAATAGTTCAAAATGCTGATTTCAATATGCTTTTTAGTGTTAACTAAATTTGTGTATGTTTGAAATTTGTTTTTTCACAAATTGCATTCCATACTGTTTTCGTTGATGGGATCTTTCTAGGAAGTCAAAGAAATGAACTATTTATTTCTTTGTTCACAACATTTATTGAAATGGTAGTTGAAAACATTTTTCTAACAACATTTCTTTGAATGCCATCGAAACCGCTCTAGTATTTCTCATTAATCAATATATCTGAAGAAGTTTCCCATGATGTCGATATTGCGTTTTGTTTCACTGCAGCATACCACTCTATCGCACAACCTAGCATAGTTTTTTTTTCTTTTCTGGCATTTTTTCTATCGGTTCTTCTTTGCCAATCGAATAGGTAGAAATAAAACTGAAGGACATAAATAGCTCCACAACAATGAAAGCAATTAAATTCATGTTTCTGCTAATTTTCTTAAACTAATGTTAATGTTTTCAATTTAGAATCAGCTGTAAATTCAGTGGACCTTTCATATTTATATTTTTGATGATTTTGTTTTCTTTGAAACTTGTCTGAAAATGATCCTTGGTTTTCAATCTAGTATATCAGATATATGAAGGTAACACTTGATTTACGAAGATTTTTTATGCACAAAAGGTTAGAAAATTCATGCAATATCTGCAATTCGTTTTCATCTGCGATAAGTCAACTATTTCCAATTGACTTGTCTATGGTGTAGCTTTTTTTAATAGATTTTTGAGCTGAAATATTTAGTTGAGTTTCAAACTCTGATAAATTCTTGGCCTAAATAGTTAGAAATGCTCAAGTGTTTCTTACATTGATTCGCTCAAATATAAACGTTTTCATAATACAGAATAGGAAGCTGTTACACGTTGTCGTTGTATTGTATGATCTACTGTTGGTATCATTCACCCATCGACTTCTCACAAGATTTATGCAATGAAAAATAAAAAAATGACAATATATTTGATTTCAAATCGATTTTAAGTTAAAAACCATAGTCAACATTCTCAATTGTCATTCCTAATTGACCAAAATATAATTGGCAGTTGTTTATGCCTTTTGCATTTGGTCATAGACTTTACAAGAAAAGGATTTGTCACTATCTCTGACGCGATGTAAGAAACACATTTATCAATAGATTCTATTAGTAGTTTTTCACTTTCAACCACTAAGTAGAATATTCTTGAAAATTGTATACCATGTTAAGTACATGTGTTCATGTTTGAGAATAGGACTACCATTTCTGTCCCCATGTTTCAAAATTTATAATTCATGGAAGCATACGTGCTTAATATTGATAGTCTCTACGGGCTCTCTTAGAATATAATTCCTTTATGCTTAGTTGTTGACAAATTGATGATCCACTGCTAAATTCTATTGCAATTTTTTTCGGATTATCATAAGTCATCTGTTTTTGATGATTATCTATAGGAAACTGTTCTACGATATAGTTTTGTTAGTGGACACAAAAAATACTAGCTCATATTAAAATTTATATGTGTGCAATATTGAAGATGAAAGAATACTATTCAAACAACAGAAATTTTCACTAATTATGTAACATGGATTAAACTTATAGTTCTGTCTAGTTTACTGCAGCAACAAATCAGTATGATACAGTTCGACGTAGTCAAAGTCGAGAAGAATTAACGAATGGTCAAATGGAGAAGAATCTTTTGACAGCCATTGACTTTGTCGCATCTCTACCAATGTCTCAGCAAAACAATATAAAAAAACACGATGATCAAGAGACGTTTGCTGCAATGAAAGATCAGTTGATCCAACGTAAAAAGTTACATTATCGTTGCCGTCACGTAACCGATTCTATGTGTTTGATAGCCGTATTTGGTTTGGTGCTGATGATCATCGATACTGAAATGCGATTAAATGAAATAGAAACAATCATCATCGTCATTATTCGACCATTAATTGGTGTCTCAACGGCAATTCTAGTCGGACTTGTATTTTACTATCATTCACTTAACATGCGGTTGTATGCTATCAACAATCATATTGCTGACTGGCGTGTCACTATAACGATTTCAACAATTGCCATTATCTTATTCGAAGCTTTAGTATGCGCTATTCATCCTTTTCCTTACAAAAACAAAGGACTTTCGATATTCACTTTGTTTAACAAATCTGCTTGGATTCAAATGTTTCTTACATTGCCAAGTAAGTGAACGAAATTGATTATAAAATTCTATTACTATCATATTGATCTTCTTATTATTAGTGTTTGCTCGTTTATATCTAGTTGCTCGTAGTGTAACATTACATTCACCACTCGTGAATGCAGCTTCATCACGAACTATTGGCTATCTCAATCGAGTTCCTATAACCATTTCTTTTATACTTCGAGCATTGTTACAAACTTACCCAGCTGGTAGTTGGACATGTGTCATGGTCATAACATTACTTATTGCCACTTGGGCATTACGTGCGTGTGAAGCAGCTATGTGGCTACCGAAAATTTCTGTATCACCACAACCAAACGACTCTACATCGACGTTCAGCAGTGCAGTATGGCTCACAATAGTAACATTCACTACTGTCGGTCAGTTTTTTTAACCATTGGATTTGTTGATGGGCAAACATGTATGTCATGAGATTTTATATTCTTTTAGGATACGGTGATGTTACACCCCGAACTTACTGTGGTCAAGGTAAGAATTTAGTTGAAGATACGATCTTTGAATAAAATACTAGAAAATCATCACTTACAAATATGTAATGAATATAAATTTAGATCTCGAAAGATATATTTTCGATGCTAGAACTTTCTTTCGTGAGTAACATTGCTGCAAACTTCCTAATTACATACAATAAACTCATCAATTGTCGTTTACTCGTTGCTCTGTCTATTTATTTTCTGAATCTAAAAATATGTCTTTCGATTTATAATCGATGAAGGAGTAGAAATACGAATGGATTCGAACATCCCTATTTCCAACAATCTTTATTATACTACAATTGTTTTTTTTATTCTCCCTCATAGAAATTTGTAATAGAAAAAAAATGCACGCACACATTTACTATTGTCACATTATTTGATCTTTGATCGAACCAATGTTTATCAAAGTAACATTAATTGTACCAGGAAAAAAACTGAGTACGCACTGATGAAAAAACTTAAAATAATTTTCTAGGGTTTCATAATTTTCAATGACTTCACTAATAACAATTACTAAATGGTATTGTAACGTGATTTAAAAACTGTCGCTTTTCAATTTTCTTGATGAACGATTCCCGATTTTGATCTCGAATATAAGTACATTTTATGTACGTTACATTTCTCTAAAAGAAAACGAACATTACTGTTGTTTGGCTTACTGTTGATCTGAACACATTTGATTCCACAAGTTACACATGACACCGTAGAACATAAAGTAGATAAGTAACTTAAAATTATAATGAATATGTACAGGAGCTCAATTACTACTCGTTTATTAGTCTCATAATATTGATTTTGAAATACGCAAATAAAGCAGGAAATACATAATATCTAAATCTTTGATTTTCTAGGTGTATCTACCATTACTGCTTTTTTTGGAGTGTTTGCTTCGGCTGTTCTGATTGCTGTGTTTACAAACAAGATCGCATTAAATCGATCTGAACAAAGCGTGCTCGATTTTGTTAACCAAATCAACCGAGCCCGAGCATATCGAGAGAAGACTGTGCGAATCATCCAGTACTCGTTTCGAGCATGGTTTCTAAAAAGAAATGGTCATCGTTATCGAGCAACATTTAACTCCCTTTATCGTTTACACTCCGCTCTTGAGGATTCACGTGAGATCAAACAAGAACAACGAAATGCAGTGAATGGTACTGAATCATTACTGACAATGCTCAGCGATGTACATGACGAGCAGAGAAACAATGATAAGTCACTTACAAAACTCAAAAATCATATTGTGCATCTCGAAGAGAAGATAAATGGATTAGAAAATAAATTAGACGTTATCGTAAATATGTTATCGAAGAATTCTCCTTCAACATAACACAATACACCGTGAAAAATAATCAACGATTCAATGCACTTCTGTACTATGTTTTCATATTAATTTAAAAGATAAATCATATTTTTTTTTCTGATTTGAATGATAAAATAATGCTTTATTACAATTTTAAATATTGAAAATGAGATTATGTCTGTAGTGAAAATGATAATAACATAGTAGTGCAAAAGAAAATCTTACGATCAAATTATCTCAGCTTCTTTGAGAATGAATCATTTCAAATATTTAATACCAAGCAGAGAACTAATCTGAGAGAATTTTCCCGGTTCAATCAGTCTATTTTCTAGACATGATAGCATACTATTGTCCATTTTCTATCAATACAATTGTCTAAGATAGATATGACTTTTAAAAACAAGAAAGTGTCGAGTCATGTTTTAGAAATATCAAGAGATAATGTGTAAATCAATTGAAAATTGTAAACTTGAATTGTTACGAGAATCTATTAACATCGTTTGTGACAAAAAAAAACATATCTTCATTTCGAGTTCAAAAAAAACGAAATATATGCCTTATTACTCGAAGTATACTGCTCCTATGAAATAAACTACCTGATATATTTTTTAGAAATAGTTTCGCATCAAATGATTTTCAACCATGAGTAAATCATCCCTATCAAAGATGAAAGAAACTGTTTTGAATATGGCTATCTTCTAGTATATCTTGAACATAGATGTCATAATACCTTTACACTGGGTATCGAGAGTTTTACGTCACAATACCCTATGCAGCAATAGTTTATGGAGTATCCATTCTTAGTGCATCTACAATCTGATGTAACCACATTAAGCGTATCCACTTTTGGGTATCCACATTTATGCATATGTATATGTTTTGAAAAGCTGAGGAATTTGAGTTGTTTTGGTGTATCCACTTTTTGGGTATCCACTTTTGGGTATCCATATTTATATATATATATACATAAATGTGGATACCCAAAAGTGGATACACCAAAACAACTCAAATTCCTCAGCTTTTCAAAGCAAATACATATATATAAATGTGTATCTATAAATATGGATACCCAAAAGTGAATACCCAAATGTGAATACCCAAATTCGGATACCCAAAAGTGGATGCATCTAATGTGGATACTGTAGCGTGTTTGTGCTAATAAGTCGTTACCGGGTGTAAGGATATTATGACATCACTCATCTTGAAAGTAATTACAGTTTAGTTTGTTTGTGATTTTCATAGATGTTCTCGATTCTATATATGAATGAGGTAAATTTCCTTAAATATTTCGACCATGAAAAATATGACTAACTTGACGATGTCTTTCCGCTAATTTTCTACTCTATGAGACTATCATTATATGCAGGTGAACTTCAACTCTTTATTTGATTAGAACGATGCGAAAAGCAGGCAGTAACAGTTGTGTTCACTATTAAGTATCACTGTAGACGAACTTAGTAAAAACCATTACCTTAGTAGAAAGTACAAGAATCAAACAAATAAAATTGATTCATATTATTGCTCACGTTAGTGAATTATCACTGATGATTTAATTCGTAAGAGATATAAATATGGAAGAGCAATTTCTTTCTGTGCATTCATCTGTGACAATCTCTTATTTCTAACCTTAGTATATGGTATATAATACTTGCTGTATAAAATATAGTATAATACCAAGTAGAGAGTGTAAATTAGTTTATTTGGAATAAGATCATAAAATTTCAGATGAAGTTTTGTGATGATACGGAAAGTCTGAAGAATGTGGATAAATGTTTTATCGCTTGTTTGGAATTTTATTGCTGTCTTATCTATTGGATTGGTATTGAAACCATGCTGCTCCAATCGACCTCACTATTCGGTGTAGAAAAATATTGTCGTTGAAGTTTATCGAAGATCAACGCGAAAACACGTCGAATTATTGGAATTTGTGTTTTTCGAATCACAAGTGAAACATAATATCGAACTGCAGGATTATTGTTGTATTCCTTGCTGATATCTACGATGCGTAAAATACGCACTGGATCATTGACATCAGCTGCCAAGTTATGTTTATATATTTCTTCGACTATCCAATCATTGATATCAGATTGAAGACTTAGTAAAACAGGTGAACTTCGATATTGCAAGGCTGAATTAAAAACTTGATTGTAAATATCGTGCTCGTAGATGTACTCCACAAACATCTCCCCTGGTGGACAGCCAGTTTCAGCTTCCCGAGCCACTGGTAACACTTTATCATGGGTTGATCTTGTTAGAAGTTGAGTTAGAACACCGAAAAGTTCTTGACTATCAATATCGGTTTTATCAGTATTATCGTATTCATCAGATTCATCAAATTCTGATTCAATGTTGATATTGTGTTCAATATTTGATTCATAATTTGACACATCTGCGAACAGTATTTCTTCTGGATCAAACTCACTAGCAGAATCGGTGGCTGATTGTGATCTTTGATTTTCATCACCATTAGATTTCTCTGAGCCACTCGATTGAAAATCAAACTCACCAGCAGAATCGGTAGCTGATTGTGATCTTTGATTTTCATCACCATTAGATTTCTTTGAGCCACTCGATTGAAAATCAAACTCACCAGCAGAATCGGTAGCTGGTTGTGATCTTTGATTTTTTTCATCACCATTAGATTTCTTTGAGACACTTGATTGAGGATGTACTTGATTGTCTAAATACAAGAGAACAACATCATTTCATGACGTACTACATCAATGAATAATTCTTTCACAAAATACAAATATAATAGTCTTTGAACGATGCATCAACTTAATTCTAAACCATGTAATCGAACATCATCTTTGTGTACGTCACTATTCAATTATGCGCTCCGTAGTTTTGTTTATTTCATTTAATTTTACTAAAAGTCTTTCAAATAGAAGATAAAATGATGTACACCACGAGATTTTCGCAACATGAACACAAGCGAATATATGGTTATAGGTTGATATTTATAAAGAGAAATACATAACTTACCATCAGCGGGTAACTTTGAAGTGCGTTTTTGTGTAGATCGAGCGAGTAGCGTATGCTTCTTGACTTCAATAAAAAAACAGACTAGAGTCAAATAATATCCCTACTAATTAAAACGTAATAGAAAAAATAATTTGTGAGGATGGCATAATCAATTGGAATTAATTTCATTTTTTTATGAGATAATATTTCGAGACGTAATTAGTATCGCATATTTACTGGATTTCTCTAATCAATTCCAATCAGTGCTATTTGTTACATTCGTTGAGATTAGACAGTATATTCTATGGTGGAAATTCCTTGCTAAGAAGAAAATAGCATTGAACAATGAGAAAAGTGCCATTTTTACTTGCAGTATACGCAAAACCGTACTTTCAATATTTTCAGGCTTCTCAATATATTTTCAAAATAGGAGAAAAAAGGACATAGATGAACAGGTTTCCATTATATACTATTTTAAAGAATTTATCAAGAAAGTAGAAAACATAATGAAATAGTCTGTTTTCATTGCAAATAATAATATTTACGTCTCACTTCTTGGTGGCTCATATGCGATGTGTTTTCATCGAATCACATTCATTTTATCCGTGAACACACTGACTGTTTATAATCTTTATTTCAGTACTAGCGTCTCAAAGATTAAATCAATTTCGATTTCATCACCTTCAACTAAAAGAATATTGACCTACCAGCAACAAGGAGGATATCAGCTGCCCAGTGAAAACTATTTCGAAAAAAAACGGAATAGAATGGTTTCATGCGGATATGGAAACCTATCTTCTACGTAGAGAATGCGTTCCTTGTTTGAGCGAATGCGTTCAGAGTCAGAAAGAAATATTCTCGATCTGAAGGAACTCGTTCTTTACCGTTCCACACTAGTATGGAATACTTTCTTCTATACTGAAAAATCGTTCCCTATTTGAAGAGAAAGCATTCTGAATCATTCTTAAATCAGTAGAATTCATTCTAGTTCATTTTCTTTCGGAACGGTTAACATAGCATTTCATCGAAATAAAATAGCTTCCTTTTACGTTCTCTCACGAGCCTTTAAGACAATGGATTCTCTAAAGAGATGAATGCTTTCTTTTCGAAGCAAACCACATTTTCATTCTAAAATGAAAGGTCTGNGACCGTATCTCTATTGTAAAATAGCCGTAAGTAGCCGTATTTTCACAATGTACCGTTCATACTACGTGTCTTTACTGAACACAGTAATACCAAATCGTTTACGGTGATAATATGACTACTTACGGCTATCTTACAATAGAGATACGGTCCGTAAAACTGATTCCAGTAAACGGACCGTAACGGAGTTCCGTTTTGATCGACCTGGGTAACACGATGTCGAATGTTATTGTTTCGGGCTCTAAAAATATATTCATTATTAAGTAGTATGCATATCATCGATGAAGATTCTGCAAAAGTCTTTTGTTCGGACTCAGTGAGATACAAACATATACTCATGTATTTTGCGTCTTATGCCGGCATTTAAGAGTACAGATCATTATGATTTAATAAATTTTACTTACGTGGCGAAGTTGCCGTTTCAGTACTTGGGATTTCGGTAATCGTGCTATTGAATGTAGTAGGGGTTGGTTCTATGAAGAATAAATTGTATTTTAGAAAAAAATCTCTTTTTCAATTTGCATTTTATATTATTGTTGTGTCCTTTCGATAAAGTAGCACAAGAAAACAGCGTACTTTGCTCATCATAAAAATAATCTACTTTAACGTCTAGCTTCAACATTTTAATGTAGTGGGATATCGAATATATTTTTTTTTCTGACGAGTAAAAGTTTTAATGACATATCTTAAACTTAGCAGTAATCAAAATATTATCAATAGTTGGCAGTGGTTCTAGAAAGATATTTTTTCACCAGTGCAAAAAAAATGATGCTTACTACAATATATTTCTCTCTTTCTGTCGTATTTGGATGCACTGCAGACAAAATATTATGCAGTTTTGCTTATCACAGAATACAATAACAGTTACTACGCTGAAGTAAAGATCTGGACTTACCCACTGGTACGTAGGTGTCAATGATTTGAGTTACCGTAGCCGTGTTAGTTGCTGTCACCACAGGCTCTATTGAAAATAGATTTTATTTTAGAAAAATCGTTTTCTGTAATTGTCGTTTTTTTGTTTCTGTCCGTTTCATACATTTACTTTATAGTTAGAATATCAACTAAGGTTCACTGACTTAAACTTACCAACAGTTGGAACTGTTTCAGTAATTGAACTGAATGGCATTGCTATTGGGCCTATAAATAAATTGAATACAGTATTTTCTATGTAATCGATGGAAATTCTGAAAACAAAAACTACTGTTGGTGCTCAGTATCATAAGAATACTAAGAGCTGTGCACTAGTTTGCATCATACTTTATAATACGACGCAATATTCTCATTTGAGAAGATTGACTCACCTGTATCCGTTCCAGTAGTTTGGTCTTCGATAGTCCTGCTAGTCCTTTTACTCTTAGGTTTTATTACAACTAAATTGTATTTGTTTCGCTATGCTAACATGATGTTAAAAGAAAACATCTTATTTAGCCGTAATCAACTGTGTGTATTTTTTTCATAAAATAGGACTTTAAAAATAATTTAGAACTTATGAAATCGGTATTGATTTCGTAGAATAAAAACTGAAGTTATATGAATTTAACTAAGTAGTAGTTGAGACCATTTTTGAGCTTTTACTTTCACTACTAATACCTGATGCTGTTATTAATCGAGCTGAAAGAAAATATTCGATTCAACAAAAACAAAATCTATACAACATGTATCAATTGTTCATATGTAATTTATGCTTTTCTTTTGAACATTAGATATCGTGCGATTACGGAACGATACATTTTGAACATATAAATGTGATTCGCACAATGTTTAAATAAATTTACTTTCAACAGCTGTTAGTGTAACATACTGGGTTGTGAGTGTTGTCATGGTCGTTGCTGTTGGCACCTCTAAGAAAATGAAATACATAAATAGAGTACTAGTATGCGTAAGTATTTCTTTTGTATATTTGTCGGTTTATTCTCGTCTTTCAAGAACTTGGATTATTGAAATCATAAACCGTAACTGACAATTTTCAATAATGTATTGCTGAACTATAATCAGGTAAGTGCACTGAAATTTCCATACAATCTCGCTGTCTCTCTAAACATTTTAATAAAATTCATGATGAATCGCACTCCAACATGTCACATATTCTAACTACATGTGACCGACGTTGTACTATGATCTATTGAATATAACAGACTCAGTGCTGAAAAAACAACCTTTTTATAGTAGAAATACTTTTAAAGTTAACAATTTTAATTACTATCAATAAGCTTTGTTTTGAAATAGGCTGCCTTTTGTAAATATTTCTACAAAATGCAAGAAACTTTTTAAGGTTTTTGTTTTTCTACGCCTATGTTAAAATACTCGCTTGTACGCATAGTAAAAACACATTTATGTCTGATAGCTATTTCTAAATAGTTCCTCGCATATTCAAATTATGGGAATTCTCATTTCCTTAAAATGAATAAATTCTACTCGCTTTCTCAATCTTTTGTAAACATTATGATTTATAACTTTATTCTGTTAGTATTATGATATTTACACGAAAAGATCGAAATGGAGTTATACTCTGGCCAGACGCACACAAAATTGCCAGTTTAGGTCTTTGATCGGCACAATCATTACATTACGATCTTTTGTCTTAAAAGCGAGCAAGATTATTCTATATGAGGTCTACATTGCTAATTTTTCATCCCAGGTGAATCAATCCGATACCGAATCCCATCGGATTCTATGGGGTTCTACCACCCGACGGAATCCCGTTGGATTCCTGGTTAATGAATCAATATCGGATCCGACAGTCTTATTTCCAATGATATCCGATTGTCGAAACCAATGAAATCCGAAGCATTCCGGTTCCGATTGACGGTTACTGTCGGATTTTATTAGTTTCCGATATTAGGATTCGATATCGATTCCGGAACCAGGAATCCGACGATAATCCCATAGTTTCCATGCGCCTTCCGAAGAGCTCCGTCGGATTCCAACAGAAACCGATCGGAACTCATCGAATCCTAGGCTAGGATTCATTCTCCTGGGATTTACACTACATCTGCCTGTTGGCTCCTTTCACGTTTTCGTGTTGATATCTCTATCATTTATTTAAACTATCCATTCTTTTTAAAGCTTTCATTGAGAATCTCTCTTAATCATTCTGCTTTATTATCCATTCGCTGATTCTTGGACTGCTTTCATGATTTCATTTACGAACGAGATAGGCTCTATTGGAATTCAGAGCTTTTAACCTGCGCTACTTCATGCTTAGTCTTGCCTTTCACTGACAAAAAATTCTTTCTTGAGATTTATCTGCTACTATCACTGAATAATCCTATTTTACTGCTCAAAATTACTAGTAAAAATTCAATTTAGACATATTCCTTACATGTCCCGAGAGATTAAATGTTTCGAGACATGTTAGAACCTTTATGTAATTCAGCTCTGTATAGACGTAAGTAGACATTGAATACTCACCGAGGGTCTGACTAATACTAGTGCTATTTTCTGTTGTTGGCTCAGTATTTGTGGTTTCTACTGTTGCTGTTGTTGGTTCCGTAGTAGCTGTTGTCGGTTGTGTGGTAGTAGTAGTTGTTGTTGGGTGTGTGGTAGTAGTTGTTGTTGTTGTCGGTTGTGTGGTAGTAGTAGTTGTTGTTGGCTGTGTGGTAGTAGTTGTTGTTGTTGTCGGTTGTGTGGTAGTACTAGTAGTTGTCGGTTGT